CAAAAGGTATTAAGAAAAGGATATTAGTCAAAATTTCTTAGAAATATCTGTGATATAGCTATATTTTTTGTTGGAGTTGAATTTGAAAATTATTATTTTTTCTTGTTTTAACACTGAGTAATATTAAAACCAAAAAAAATCAGAATACAAAAACCGGAAAAACTTAGAAACGTAGTTAAAACTATGTTTATTAGTGGGTTTTTAAGACTAAGATATATCTAAATCTTTCTTAATACAACTGAATCACCACCATACGGCACACTACGTCATTATTAAAGTTGCACATGCACATCCATCAATAAATGTTTATATGATTGGGTAGGTGTAAAATCAACGAAAGAAATGGTGATAAGATAACGCATGATAGGTTTAGATACAAAATCCAAAATCTATAAAAAAAGAGAATTAAAGCTTCATGCGTCAGAAAGATTATTATTGTCAACTAAATCAATGATTTTACTTTTTGGCTTTTGCTCTTTATAATGTTTTTGACGTTTTCGATAACCTTAGTGGTGGAGTTGGCCAATCTAATGTGATGGTTGATACTTGATAGTGGTTTAATTTTTGTAAACAATTGACGAAAATGAAATGGCCATGCCTATGTGACCTAATGAGTATAAGACGAACATATAACGACAAATAAATCGTTTATAATAAGTAATTAATATTGAAATATATAATACACACCAATAGATTTTTAAATATGTGGCAGTTGTTTGTATTTTTGAATTTTTGATAAACATGTCTGTAATTTTTTAATTTTTACTTTAAGAATATAAAAGTTTCCATTTTCAAGATAAGACAAGAAACAGACAACATTACATGTTCAGTCAACTATTCTATATACACGTGTTACGAGGTGGGAGAATATTAAGACGTGTTTTATTGTAGCCGTTAATTTCCAAAATGTACGCTCGAGATTCTAAATATTACAAAGATGGGACATGGGCCTAACATTGACAGGTTTTTCAATTATTACGGCAAGAAAAATTACTACAATAAAATATTTCAGTTCTTTCTTGGTTTTATATGTTTTAAGATTTGAAACTGTTAGTCTAGTTATTATTAGACTCATATTTTGTAGATATATTACGGTTTTTTATATTTTTTATTTATAAAACTATATAATATATAAATAGAATAAATCAATTTTAATTAATTGATCTGTAGGTAAATCCGGTTAATTTGATGCTCCGGTAATCTAGAAAGTAGTCCGGTTTACTTTTCAAATAATGTTTAAAAATATTGGGTTAAACAAAGAAAATAATAAAATAAACTTGGTAGCTGCCCAAGAGAGCATTAAATGAGAGTAGTGTACGCTAATACCCAGAAAATAATTGATTAGTTAAATAATTAGATAATAAAGAAGAGTCAATCCCCTTAAATGGTGGTCCATTAGTGTTGTCTTCAGCGATGTTGTCTACAGGAAATAAAATAGTCAAAGGACAACTTTGAAAACAGTTTTACATAGTCCATCTACATACAAAAAAAAAAAAGAGTAGCGAGTTGGACAATACGTTTAGTAGGTTTTCTGACACCAGAAAAGGATAACTATATAGGATTAGTTGTATAAGTGATCAACAACATTTTCCGTCCTCAGCTGCGTAATTCTGGTCCATCAAAAGTTTATGTTTAGGGACAAGGATTTATGTCCTCCGCAGTGGATCGAAGAGACGATCTGATAAGGACAAAATTATAGTGTTACAATGGACAACAGCATAATGGAACTCAAGTCCACAAGGGAATAAATTTGGAATTGCAACTTCTCTTTACATATGCAACCTCAGCCTCGATGGAAGCCTTAACGACGTCGACATCACCTTTTTCGCGTTCGTCGGCGTCGACAACTATAACTCTGCTTTGGAGGTAGGGTTCTCGGGTTCGGCGAGTGTATATCTTGGCTAGGCGGAAGAAGCTCCACAGTTTTAGTAGAGACAACATTTCTGTCATAGGATCTTGTCCACCAAATTTAGTCCACTGGATCTAGTCCACTGGATCTAGTCCACTGGATCTAGTCCACTGGATCTAGTCCACCAGATCTAGTCCATTGAATCTAGTCCACCAGATCTAATCCATTGGATCTAGTCTATCTACACACAAAATGTGTGATCTAAAGTATAAACCTAAATGGATCGTAGATGACGACTTCCATAGATGCATCACTTGTTTCATCCTCTAATCAAACGCTTGTGGTTTTGGAATATTTGTACGATGGACAAGTTTGGTCTATCGATTCTGGTCTATTAGATCTGGTCCATTGATAGAGAAAAAATGGGCTGGAAAAATGGATCTAGTCTGCTAGCGTGGACCACATACTTAGAATGAAGCATCGTTATTCATCGTTGTAGTCGAACAATTTCATCACAAACTAGATTAAAAACAGATATTAATACCCAAAAAAGAGAGAGTTGCAGAGAAAGAAATTAAAAAAAAAATGAAAGTGAAAAGAAGCACTGAAAAGTTTGGTAGGTGTTAAATAGTATAGCTTTATGTGAAAGAAAAAAAATAAAAATAAAAACAAAACTGATCTCAATTGTATAAGGGTAGAATAGTGTTTTTAAATTAGAGGTATGACACCCAAGAGAAGGAAAAAGTAAAACTGGCATTAGATATAAAAAATGTTACTGTTCATGGTAGATTCCACAATTTTCTCTTAAATTTTCAAGATATGAGTTTAACCAATTTGAATACGGCGATTTGATGTTATAATTTAATATTTAGAATCATTTAAAATTTTGAAAAATAAGATTCAAAAGTTAATTGGCTCAGATAATTTATTTTCCAAAATACTGTAAGCTAATAAGTAATAATCTGTGATTTTTCACCCAAAAAAAAAGTAATCATCTGTGATAAAATATGTTAAATTAATAATGTTTTCTGCTAATACGGTTCAACAACGCATTTGTAATAAACTAGATTTTGACCCGGGTACACCGCGGGACTATATATTTTTTAAATTATACTTATCTAAATTTATTTATTTTGAATATAATATTGATATTCATAACTTTTGGTTTGTTTGACGTGCATAGAATTTTATGAATTATACTTACAGCTTTTTCTAAAGTTAGTATTCAAATTAAATGATTTATTTTTTTTGTGTTCGGTAGATTTAACCGTGGTTCATGTAAAACTTGTAAGTTAATTTAGTATGCATATTTAAATTGTTTTATCAACTAAGAATATATAATTTATATTTTTTTATCAAGGTAAAATGGAAACTTTACAACTAATTACGTATTGTTTAATATATATCTATATTAACATTTTTGAAGTACCTTTTGTGTTCTACCCTTTTATTTTGTTATATTTTCATAATTAAACCCTTGCCATTTGATTAAATAGAAAAAGTTTAAAATCAATTTTGTAATTAAATCATAATAAAATTGCAAAATTAGAAATCAATATTTAATACATTTAACAAAGTTTCCTAAAATCTCTCCCTAATAAATCAAATATTTCTCCAATATCTTTATATGACCTTATTTGTTTTTAAATTTATATTATTACATAAACATATGTATAGTAAAAATATATAATTTTTTTTTGCATATGTTGCAATTTGAATTTTTAGAAACGGATGTATTACTCAAACGATACAAAATATGGATGTACTAAACTAATATTGATAATTGTGTAGCACGGATCATGTGATGGATATTTTTACGGGTTGTCTACTATAGTATAACTCACAAAATATTTTAATATGAAATTATACTATGTAAACGAATATTATGTCAATATCATTTCATTATTTTAAATATTATACTTATTTAATTAATTTGATCAAATTACGATTATATAAAAATAAATTATCATATAATATTCTACGGGTTAGATCATAGAATTAACAATCAAAATATAATAGTACACTCTTATATACTCACAAAATTAATAAAAAAAATACATTTTAAAATGTCGTCCCGCAGTGTACCGCGGGTTAAAATCTAGTATATATATATAATTTTGTTAAAATATATTTTTTGTTTGTGTTAGATGAGATATAAAAAAAATTAAAATAAATAAATATGTGGGGAATTTCAAAAATAATTATTTTCATGATTTTGGTATTGCACATATATATATGTAATTTATCTCTACTTTTTTTTGAACAGCAATATTTTATCTCTCTAAAATCAATATAACCACGATTATGGTTTTAAATAAACATAATTGCAATGAATTTATATAACATATTTTTAGTTGGTAAATATTTTATTAAACGTGCTGAGTAGTGAATAATATAAAATTTATAATTCCAACTGATTTATAGGTTCCTCTTAATTTTATTTATTGTAAAGATATTGTATAGATTTTAGGAGAATTAAATTAGGGAATTGATTTTCAGATTAATTATGGAGTGATTTTAGGAATATTTGGTTTGAAGAGAATAATGTTAGCATCAAAATTTTGTTTCAATTTATTTTTTAAAAAACATTAAATACCAATGTCATTCTTAGTAAATAGTTTGGAACATCAGGATTTATTTCAAATACTGTTGCAAAAATGTTAATATAGATTCAAGACATATTAAAAGTTGAAACAATTTAATTTTTTTGAAAATGACTCAAACATCTGTTGTTACACTAAAAAGGTATACTTTATTAGATAGCTATTTGTCTTTGTCCCAAAAAAAAAAAAAGATAGCTAATTATCTTTTATTCTTAATATGTGTATCTATGGCATTTGTCATTTTATAATAGAATTTTTTTTTTGACATCATTTTATAAAAGAATTATATCTACCAATAATAAATCATACACTTATTAGACTTGCATAATATCAGACATTTTTTAAGATAAATAAAAAGAATCCTATATTTGTATTTTAATTTAATTTAATTATTTTTTCATAATAAAACAAAAAGAAAAAGTAGATGCTAAGTAGGTCCTGTAATGGAACCCCACCACGAAATCTTTTACAGAGAACTCTGTTTTTTCTCTCCTTCCTCTTTGTCTTAGTGACTTGTGACGACGACCCTCTCTCAAGTCTCTCAACACCCAAACTCCACTTCACTCTCTCTTCTCTCACCTCTCTCAAATCATTGCTTTATACTTATTTGTTTTCTTGTTCTTAAAAATCTTTTTTCTTTCTTCTCTCTAAGGAGATCTGAGTTTTGTGATTTGGTTTACTTGTGTGGAAGAAAATGGAAGAAGTTGAAGCTGCAAACAAAGCAGCTGTAGAAAGCTGTCATGGAGTGTTGAATCTCTTATCACAACAAACCAATGTTTCTTTAATGGTTGAGACAAGAGAAGCTGTTTCAAAGTTCAAGAGAGTCTCTTCTCTTTTGTCTATAGGGTTAGGTCAAAGGAAGATTAAGAAACTAAACAACAACAACAAGTTTAGTTCTTCTTTGTTGCCTCAACACATGTTTTTAGAAAGTCCCATTAGTGGTTGTGTTCCAATTCTTGCACCTAAGCCTCTTCAGGTTGTACCAGCTAGTCATCCTTCATTGATGCTGTTTAACCAGAGAATGTGTGTTGACAAGTCTTTTCTTGAGTTAAAGCCACCTTCTTTAAGAGTTATTGATCCAAAACCTTATCAGTTTATTCATAGCCAACAGCGAGGAGTATACTCTAGGAGTAAAAGTGGTTTGAATCTTAAGTTTGATGGGTCTAGTGGTGGTGGTGTTGGTAGTTGTTATTCCCCTAGTATCTCAAATGGATCAAGATCGTTTGTTTCATCTCTTAGTATGGATCATAGTGTGACTGATTACGATAGGAGCTCGTTTCATTTAATTGGTTTGCCTCTAGGATCTGATCATATGTCACAACATTCTAGAAGGACTAGTTGCTCTGGTAGTTTGAAATGTGGAAGTAGAAGCAAATGTCATTGTTCCAAGAAAAGGTTTGTTTTGTTTTTACTTCTTTGAGAACTATTGTAAGTAGCAAGACTTTGTTTGATTCGATTCAATGTTTGGTGTTTGTTGACAGGAAACTGAGGGTGAAACGATCGATTAAAGTACCCGCGATTAGTAACAAGATTGCGGATATACCTCCTGATGAATATTCGTGGAGGAAGTATGGACAAAAGCCGATAAAGGGTTCTCCTCATCCTAGGTAAGAAACATTTACCATAAGACTTTGGTCATATGTTTGTTTCATAATTTGGATCTTGTTTTCGTTGTTGTAGAGGATACTATAAATGTAGTAGCGTGCGAGGTTGTCCAGCGAGGAAGCATGTTGAGCGATGTGTAGACGAAACCTCGATGCTAATAGTGACTTATGAAGGTGAGCATAACCATTCAAGAATACCCTCTTCACAATCAGCTCATACCTGATTGGTTAATAATATTGGCTTCAGCTTTGAATCTATATATAGGTTTAGTTATATACTTATATATATATGCATTATGTATTGTATAAGATGTTGAGTAAACTGTAAACTTATGTAGTTCTCAGTATCTTATATGCTCTGATTTAGTCACAAGAATTTACAGTTGAGACTAATGAATCAGATTGCATCTAAAGAAGATTCAAACAAATAATTAAGAATGGTTTTTTTCATTTTGGGTTTATGGATTTGTCATTTGTGACTTAAAAATTTTAGGATGTTTTTTCAATTTTAATAACTAGATATTTTTTTTATCACTTGAAAACCATTGTTGGTTTTATAATTATAGTTTATATAATATATTATAGTTTTGATATTGATTAATTTAGTGTATTTTATTTATATATGGGTAACCTATATAACCCATTTAGCCATTGAATTTTTTTATTATTGGATTTGGCTACCTAAATTCAACCCATTATAATAATAAATGGGTCGGGTTAAATCTGCCCACGAAAATCTCAAATCCATGTGGGTTTGGGTTGGATCGGGTTGGATTACCCATTTGACACCCCTTTACTGTATTTAAAACTTGTTGACCGGTTCAGCTCTCATTCACCAAACCGAAAACCAAAAGTCTTGGTTTAATGTCCCTGGCCTAAATCTTAATGATCAAAGATTACAAGTCTTATAAATCTTGGTTTACAACATGAACGTTACTAATAAAATGCAGTGAGATCACAATTACCATTTTGTATTCTATTTACAACTCTCAAATAGTAACAAAGAAAATATAAGTTCATACAAATGACAAAATAACGACCGATATAAAATCGATACAAACTTTAGATCCAAGATTCCTCAAACACTTCAAATATACAATTTCAGATTTAAAACGTTACGTAAAATTAAAACGAAATCAAGTAGAGAGACAGACGTGAAAAACAAAAAAACAATCAATATAGAACAAGAAAACCGGAAATAACCGGAAATAATAGTTTGGTTTACTCCGGTCTAGTAAAATTAGGTTATGAAAACATCTTCTTGACAACAAATCATTCACAATCACAGGCTTCAAATCCTATTCTACCTGTGACTTTGAATTCTCTTCACCATTCGAGCTAATCGCATCGCTGCAACTCTTTCTCCGGGACAGATTTAGCTTCGGCGACTTAGGCCGCGTCAATGGAAACTACATTTAATTGTAATGACACATAAGTTTCCTTGTCATACAAGAAACATGTGAGATCAGTCCTAACAAATATGAGAGATTTTACCTTCTTGAGCTCGGGTTTCGCGGGAGGTCCTTGATAATAGAAATCAGGAACAGGATTAGCCTTAAACTTGAGGTTTTTCCTAAGCTGTTTAATGGCTGCTTCTTGTTCTTCCTGCAAATTTTGTGTTCCAATTTTAGATTTTTTTTCAGAATACATTTTCTTGATTTAGTTACTAAAGACGATTCTTGCCTTTTGCCTTTGTTCAAGCTCGATCCTTTCAGCTTCAAGTGCTTGGTGCTTCTCTTCAAGCTTTTGGTAATACTAAAAATCACAATAAGACTTTATAAAATCAGTGAACAAACCTCTTTGCTTTTATGTTGTAGACACAATTGAAAGCTTACCTCTTTGCGTTTCTCAGCGCGTTGTGCACTTCTAAATCGTGGCGCGGTTCCATGAGTTACTTTAGACTTAACATTCTTCAATGAAGAAGCAACAGAACAATCATCTTCTTCATGATCCAAATGCTTCTTATTCACATCATTCTGATAAAAATCAAGAACATAAAGAGTCAAAACACAACTTTCAAATCTCTATTTCATTACCATCTCTCTCTCTTTTATACAATACCTCTGAGATTACATTAGAAGATTTATGATTTTGAGAGAGAGAATTCTCTTCAGTGCATTCCTTCACCTCATAATCTTCTTCCTCTGCAGCTTTCTTGGGAGACACGTGAACCCTTTCGTTCGATGCATCCGTGTGAACCGATTCAACAACTTCTCTTCTCATTTCAACTACTGCCAGTTTTCACCAACATTAAAACAAGATTCCAAATTAAATTAAGCACAACTAATGTTGTTTTCCAAGATTTCAACCAAGATTAGGTTGACGATTATCAGAATTTGGTCAGAATCAGAAAAGAAATGGCCAGAAAAATTCACATAAAACCACATAAATTGGATATAAAATATGAACTCGTGAAATTTAGAAAACAAATCACTTTTTTTTTTCCAGGAACAAAATACAAAAACAGGGGAAAAACAAAAACAATATTTGAAAAAAAAGACATGTAATGTTATGTTCTTACAGATCTTGTCTGATTGAATAATTGTTCTTGATAAGCTTTTCGATCTTCCGGTTCAGACAAGAACACAATACTTTTTCTTTTCTTTCTCTCTCTCTCAAGAAAAATAAAGATAGGTTCTGGTTTTGTGCGGTGACTGTTTTTGGAACTGTGTTTTGGTTTGTTGTTAGCTGTTGTATATTTATCGGCTCTGTTTTTTTTTGTTTTGTTAATTAGTATTTCTTTTAACAGCTTTATTCTATTTCTAGTCATTTTTATTCTAAAATTAATATAAATTGTTGGGAATGTAATATACGAAAAGATGTTTTGTTCAGCAAATTAATTGAAAACTTAATAAATATAGTCACGTTTATTTTTCTGCTTTATGAACTGAAAATTGTAGTATTCAATAACAACAGTCAAAGAGAATTGAATCTTTATATCTTTAATTAATATGTGTCGACAAAATTGAATAGAAAAATTGTCGTGTAATACTAAAACATCCTCGGACAAACACGTGAATCGTCTTTTTGCTTTTGTCGTGCTTTTAAGTTGGCGTCGTCAATGTTGAACGACATCAGTTAACGCCGACACACGGGAAAGAACAACCCAATGACCCCAATTCTCTTATGATCTCGAATCTATTGTTTGGGTCATCTTGTCTCTATGTTTAAAAATTTCTACAACTTTTTTGGGCACTTTTTGTTTTAATATCTTTCTTTTTTTTTAGCGTTGAATTGTGGCTTGTGCTATTCAAGGTTGAATCTTGTTGACTGACAAAATAAAAGAGCTAGATTCCAAATTTTGAGATTTGAGGAGATGAAAACTTTGAATGGTCGACATAAGGAAGATATCCATGTTTTTTATTTTGTGGAACCCATTTTGTAATTTGTGATTGTTACTGTTATTATATTTTTGTTCTATAGAAAGAAACTTAATTTTTATCTAACTTTTTTATCAGTTTTGTTATGGGAAAATTCCATAAAAATTCCCCATCTAATTTTAATTTGGAAGTTTAATACCCAATGTTATTTGGTTGGAAACAAAATGCATGGTTTATTAATTTGTTGTCTATTAATACATCAAGTATATAAAAATTGTCGAATCGAAGAAACCGCTTAACAAACGGTAATCGGATTGACGGAATCACTAAACCGAGGTTAATGGAATTACACTAAACTTAGGGTTTATCGATCCCAATTCGATTTGGGATAATAGCAAAGAACAATGCAGTCTTTGGATAACCCCAAATTACCCGTGTGTTTAGGGATTAGTAATTTCGTCAACCTCGGTTTAGTGATTCCGTCAATCCGATTAAACGGTTTATTCGATTCGACAATTTTTATATACTTAATGTATTAATAGACCAAAATTTAATAAACCATGCATTTTATTTCCAATCAAATAACATTGGGTATTAAACTTCCAAATTAAAATTAGATGGGGAATTTTTATGGAATTTTCCCGTTTTGTTATCTATCTTTGTATTGCTTTGTTAGCATCACTCTTTTAGCTGTTGGTCTTGAATATCGGGTATGCCTGGTTATGAGTTTCTTCTCTGTAACCGGTTAAATTTGATGAATGAAAAATGTTGTGCACAAAAGAAAAGAATGAATGCTTGATTTATTTATTTGTTTTGGCGAACAATTGTGGCAAGTAACGTTTAACATTAATCATAAAAGTTATTTTACTTTGAGTTGCTTGGATCGCTAATTATAAAAACTCTTCCAGAAAACGTTTCCGGTTTCGGGTTGTAATATAAATGGAAACGTTTTCGGGTTGTAATATAAAGGGAATTCACACTTTGTTGACCTAGTTGGCCGATTAATTAAAAATCTAGCATCCAAAATTTCTTATTTTGCTCTCTTTTTATTCAGACGCTTTTAATCCTATTTTTCACTTTAAAAGTTTAGGAGATTGATTCGGTTAAAGAATTTAGAACAAGATATCTGTTCTGATTTGATCTAGTCTCTGGGAAATAAATGGGTTTCGAAATTGAATTTTCGATTCCATCACTTAATAAATTATAATTTGCAATGTTTTGTGTGTATATTACTTTTCTGAGTTTTTTTTTTCTCAAATCTCCCATGTTCTTCCATTTCATTCCGTTGTAATGTTCCTGTAAAGATTATTTAAGAACGCTATCAGCCTATTCATTTTCGACTGAGTGAAACCAAGCAGACGGTGAGTATTAGCCATGGGATTTATAACCGAACCGATTTGTCCGAACCGAACCGAGATTTGGACAAATCGGTTCGGTTATTGCAGCTTTGTTTGGTTTAATCAGATTGATTTCAGCAGATAGTTCGGTTATGTCTTCAGGTCGGTTCGGACGGAATAACCGAACGGGTACCTTATAACCAAAAATAAGCTATACTATATAAGCTTCTTAAACCTAATTCCTAAAACACTAAAGCCGACTCTTCTTCTTCTTCTCTCTACCCAAGCAGTCAAACACTCTTTGTCTCAGTAAACTCGAATTGTGGGTTCAAGCTTCAATAAATCAGAAGATTCAGCACTGTAAGTTCTTCTCCAAGCTTTCGAATTAATTTTTGTCTTAGAGTTTTTATTTGCGTTTGATTTGGGGTTTAGATTTAGGATATCGAATGGGGTTGATAGGATTTGATTTGGGGGTTAGATCTAAGGTTTCAATTTATATTCAATTGATTTAGCGTTTAGATTTGGGGCTTTGTCTCTGTTTAATTTGATTTAGGGTTTCGGGTTGGGATTTGATTTGGGGTTTCGTTTTTCGATTTGATTTAGGGTTTTGGGTTGGGATTTGACTTGGGGTTTAGTTTAGGGTTTCGTTTGAGTTTGTTTTTGTTAATGTTTTGTGTAGCACCAACTGATCTATTTAATTTCTTACATTGGTTTTACATTTAAAGGGGGTCTCTTTCCATGGCGATAATGATGAGAAGAAGAAGTGTTCACGTTTTTTTGTTTGTGTTTTTGTAATTTGGAAGTTAAACTTATTTGTCGTTAAAAATTGGTTATGTATGTTTATTAATTGCTGAAATTTTCACTTGTGCTTGATTTTTGTAAAATTTTGATGTTTATAACTTGTAATTTGGGTTGGTTTGGAAACAAAAATTAATTACCGAACTAACCGGTAACCGAACCGAACCGATCCGAAATCTACTTCGGTTATTTTCGGAACAATGAAATTTTTAATAAATAACTGATTACCGGAATACCCGACCCAAACCGAGCCGAATTACCGGAATTCCCAGGTCTAGTGAGTATCTATCAATTTTTTGAATTTTATTTTGAATCCCAAAACAATTTTTCCGATTTTGGTATAAATTTCCTTTTTTTTACTAGATGTCTAATCTTGTTCTCCATATTCAACTAATCGCCGAGAGAAATCCTTGGGTTAACGTCTATCACAAAATGAAAATGCTTAGCTCTTTTATCGATTCTTTGGATGAGGACGAGCGAACATGGCTCAACATTTTGTCTCTCGGGAGTTTATTGGAGTTTCCCAACAAACCCACTTGGTCGGCGTCATTTGAGTTATTTCTCCTTTTGAGACAGCTTGAGGTTGCTCGACCCTGTGAGATATGAGTTATATTCACTGGGACTCATGTTCGATTTTCCCTCCGAGAGTTCAAGATTTTCACTGGGATTCGTTGTGGCAAGTTCCCTAATTTGTAGAAAAGGAAGCGGAAAGGCACTATCGAGGAAAACAATACCTTTCCACAACACTTTTTTTGGTCTAGAGGAAGAAGTCAATGTTGAGAGAGTTATTACCATGTTAAAAAATAAAAAGAAAATTTTCTCCGATTAAATAGAAAATTGACTCTAATGCCGCCGTTACATGTGCATGGATTTGGTGGATGGGTTTTTAGTTCCCACATCTCACTATCCTAAGATTGTCAATGAGCACGCGAAAGTGTCAATGGACCTATCATTCTTTCTCTCCTATTCTAGGGGTAGACTTTCTTTCAAGACGATGATGAAGTCTATTAAGGAGAGGGATGTTGAGCAATTGGCAACTACTTGTGTTGCTATTAAGGATCTACTATACGCTCTACAACTTGTTATTTTACATGCTGCCCCTGCAATTCAAGAAGGTTCGCCATCGAAGGAACCTTTGGCTAGTAATTTGGATGAAGAGCCAGCCGCCAAAGTTGGCACTCGTCCTTCTGTCCCCTTGAAGATTTTAAATGCTAAGCGGCTGAATGGCAATTGCGAGGTTCGTAATTAACCTAAACTGTTATTGTATATTACATATTTATATCTAGTAACTATTTAATTTATTTGTTTTCTTATTGGTTATTCGATATCTTCATGTCAACGTTGACCCATTTATATGCTCTTATCTGGAGATTAACCCTTCTGAAGATTTGACATGGGATGACAATTGCGAAGATGTCGCAGCCGATAATACTGTGTCTCTTGTTATATATGGTCTTCTGCAATTCTTATTATTATTTTTCCTCCATGGGTAGTCGTGGTACTCTACAACGTTTATTTGAAACACTAACAACAGAAGGTCTTGGTCATTTTAAAATGGTTATGTGAAACATTATTGGTTGTTCCTTTTGTGTCACCCTTAAGCCCTCATTAACACTATATGGTGAAAGGGATTTGGTGAAGAAGTAGCCCGAGTAACTGACGGTGAAGACTGTGGCGAGAAAACAAATAAAGATTTGGTTAGTTTCTATTTACATTTTTTTTTCAGTTTGATATTAACTAATGCCAACATCTATACTCCCTCTCTTTTGCAAACTGCCGATGCCGGCGTGGGTGGCGATCTTATGGATATCGATAACAATGTAATTATCGTATAATATACCGAGTACCATATTTTTGGTTACCAATTCTTTAATTTTTTAAAAATGTTTCCTCAGTAGCATTATTATTATTGGCTACTGCAAGGAAGTGATGACGTTGGTGTTGACCAGGAGGATGAGTTAGCAAATAAACAATTGGTTCGTGTAACCGTTCATTGTTAAGCAATATGATTTTGAAAATCACTTACCGAAGTTCGTTTCCCTTTTGTTTCGGCATTACTCAAAAGTATTCCAAATGTCATGTTCCCCAAGATTTCAAATTTCTTAAAGACATTGTTGTCTTACGATTAGGTGTGCGTGAAACTGGCAAATTGAAGCTGACCTTCTATATGTCCTATTTAACTTTGGTAAAAAACATTGGGTTTCATTGTGCATTGATCTTCTTAATGCTAGTATCACCATTCGTGATTGTTATGCCCATCTCTGTAAGGATAATGCCATTATCCGAGAACTTCAATCCATTGCGTCGATGCTGCCATTTATACTCAAGCAGGCAGGTGTGTACCAGGAAAATAAAAAAATTTCCACAGCGCATTTTGCATCGAAAGGTCTCCATACATAGCCCATGTAAAATCTGCTGCTGATTCTGGGATTATGGCCATCTTTCTAATCCATATTCATGCTAGTGGTGGGTTAGAAGAATGCACGGAAATTGACGCTGGGAACCTGAAATCTGAAATAAAGAAACTAGTATCTGCAATTATTCTGGCCGCAATGGAGTAGGCAGCTTTTCTTAATGTTAGATGGGTTTTCTTTTGTTTATATAACCAATAAGTTTATTATCTGTTTTTTAAATCCGTTAAACGTATATTTGAACTAAATTTACAATTGGGCATGCTTTTCTGTATGTCCTAAGCATGTTATAAATTCTAGTTCTGTTAAGTCAGAAATTATTTAAGTATTTTCACTAAATATATTGTTGTTATATTTCTTTTTATTTAGCTGATAACATATTATGTATTGGCTCTCATTTTTGTAACCTTTAGGGATTTCAATACTGATTTAGTTTACATTTATCGGTAATTTATAAAATCAATGAAGTATAGAAACAAAATCACTCCTAAATCATTTAATTATGTATTTTTGAAACCCCCCCTTTAATTTTCGATTTTTATGAAATATTGTTATTTCTTTATTTTGTTTATTAGTTTACCATATGTGCTGTATTGAACAAAATTAGTTAAATTCATATTGGAAACCTTTAAAGAAATAGTATTTTAATTGTTACTATATTTATACGTGTTTTTAAAATGAGAATTCATGTTTCGTCCCAACCTATCTCATTTATGTTGGAGAATTTTGTGAGACATAAATGACATAGATTTCTATTCTCAAAATTTCTTACTTTTTTTTTTCTATTCCCGTTAAGTCTCATTATAATTTAGGTTTACATTGTGTAAATATAATAAAATTTGTTGTCATATTATTTTGAATTGATATATATATATATATATATATATATATATATATATTCATTATAAAACATTTACTTTAAAACTATAAGAGAATCTATCATTTATATATTAGTTAGTGTAATCGTTAATTAGTAAGTTTTTTGTTTTATTTTTAATTAATTATCTTTTTAGTTTTATAATATAAAATATAAGAAAAGACCTTTCATATTTCTTTTAGAAAACCTTATTTATATATGTCTAAATCTTAAAATTAAATGATAAAGTAATATAATTAATTCTTAAAATTAAATAATAAAATGAGGTGGATGATGATTAGGATGATGAAGTGGCTTAAGGAGAAGAGAGAAAAATTAACTTTATATATATAGATATTGGTTTTTATATTTTTCCGCAGTTCATATTTATCTATCAATATTCGCAAACCATGTATATATATAGGCCGATAGTCGCAGGCCCGACCCAAAATGTTTTGCTGCCTAAAGCAAATTAAATACTTTAAACACATTTAAGGACATCAATTTTTTTAAAATGACTAAATCTCGATGTTTAAGGATTCAAACCGCGTATTTTAAGCCATAAAACCGAGAACTCAATCACTAGACCAAAACCGGCAACAGTTTTCCCTATTGAGACTGTTACATCGATATTTATTCAATGAACCGACAACAGTTTCAATAATATAAACAACATAAAATTCCAGCAACTGTCATCTTCTTCATAATTATTTATTTCACATTCCATAGCTTGGCCTAGTCTGTTGTCACATGCCAAAAAACCTCCCACCCCAGTCGCCTTGCATCTATGGTCCCTGCGCAAGGGAATTATTTATTTAACTCAAATCTTTTATTTAGTTTACAAATAACCAACAAGATACCTATATTAGTCCCCTCCATGTTTTCGGGTTCATTTAGCAGTTCTAAAATGAAACTTCCTCCGGATTGCATGTATCGCAAGCTTTTTTGTACAATCATCTTTGTCCTCGAATAATGTAACACCTGTGTGTGAAATTTTGGTGGTGTCGACCGACACCGGTTTTAGGTGTCGATCGACACCAACAAAATTAGGTTGGACGGTTTAGTTTTTAAATCATTGGTTTGACTCAAATTTTTTTGTTTGGGAGCAATCCTAGGTCGACATAAACTCGACCAGCCATCTTTCTTCTTTACTTTTTGGTGTTTTGTCGCCTTCTAAAAGTGAGAAGAGAGAGCTGTGAGTGAAGGGGGATCCTAAGGTGCTAAGGTGAGGCTTGTGAGGGGTTTCTGGAGGCTTTTGGAGGCTGTTCTTGGGTGTTCTTACAAGGGATCAGTGGGATTCGTGGCTGTGGGTGTGAAGAGAGGTTGCTGGAGTATTCTTCTTCTCTATTTAGTTCATCCTTTCAATCCATATCAAAGGTGAGTGCGTGACTATGCTTGATCTAAACATGTAAAACCCTTCTGATGTGTATTTGATTGATTCAAATGGCTTGAAATTATTGTGTATGGCTTGTTTGGGTGTTTTGGTTGTTGTATTTGCCCGATTGAGTGTTAGATTTCATGGCTGGAGGTAGTGTCGCTCGACGAAATTAGTTCGGGTGTCGGTCGACACCGTTTTCTAGTGAACAATTTTCCGACAGCGAGTAGTCTGTGTCTTTTTCTGCATGGTTTGTTTGTTTGTTTTGGTTAATCTTATGCATGCTGAGTTGTTTTAATATGATTGTGTGTATAGCCCAGTAGATGGGAGGATCGCTTCACTGAGTATTTGTGATAATACTCATGCATCTCATTGTTTTTGTGGTGCAGGTAAAGTGTGACGTGGAATCATGTCAATGAGGAGGAGGATGATCTAGGGTCTCGATTTTTATGTTGTTGGAA